TCTGATCAATCCTTTTATAGAGAATTTGACTCGACATTTACTGGAAAAACAAACAAATATGAAGGTTGAAAAGGAAAAGTTATAGTCGAAGTAACTGAGAGGCTCATTTTATTAGCTCATCTATTATTCACTCATTAACCTATGTCAATTTAATGCTATAAAATATTTAAAATATTTAAGTTGAATGTCTTTAGAAATTAGATAATAAACGTTACAATCACTTAAAAAACGGTTGAAACGTAATATGTTCGAATAGTCCTACGAATAAATTTTCTCTTTAAGAAATGTGAAGATCCAACAAATGGAATGCAAAATGTGCTAAAAAAAACGAAAAAATTTGAAAAACACAAGTAAAATTCCAATCAACTCAAACAACTGAAATATCATTACAAGCGCTAACAAATGAATCTTACCTTTTAACATCTCACACTTCAACAAAAGATTTTATTCTCACAAAAAGAGGTTTATTTATTCAGAATGTAAACGGTTAAAAATTGAATATATAAGTTAGACACAGAGTACATATCTGAAAAAAAATAAGTCAATCTTTTTGTTTGATCCAAATAGCCTAAATCATTTGCAATTATTGAAAATTTCAAAGATTCTCGTCATTATTGACAACTTTGTAGTAATTATTGATTATGATTATGAAAAACTAAGAAAAGATGTTCGTTTTTTAGAATTACATTGATAGCCATGTTTACAAAATCAAATGTTATTTTAACTTTCGTTGTCACAAAACACATATTCAAACGCTGAAAGGTTTCATGCTGTTTCTTTTCGAAATTATTAATATTATAATAAGCTGTTACTTTAGATTCGTAAATCTCTAAATGGTAAATGTCAACCGAAGTCGTATGTTTTTTTTATATTAAAATAATATATTCTTGGTGTCTGTTTTCGATTTCGATGTAGAATGCACTGAATTAAACAATTTCAAACATTTTCTTTATTTAGAGTTGACATATTTTTAATAAATGAAATTGTTCAATTTTATATCAAATGAAAGAAACTACATAATCATTTTTAATTATTCTATCTCATAGTTACCGTTGTCTAGAATAAAGCATATTGTCTTCAAGTTTAATGATAAAAAAAAAGAAATAATCAAATTGTAACAAAATTTATGTCAATTTCAAACTTTTAATTGGATGTATTACATTTTTAATTCTTCAAAATTTCTTATTAGTAACTTATCAAGGCTTGAAAACTTCGAAAGAAATGGTTGTTCCATTCGATGAATTCAGTTTAAATGGAAAATAATTGGATTCTTTCAATTATTATCATAGAGATTTGAGTATGCTTTTTAATTTCAACCATAGATATACGTGTGGGGCGAGAGCTTGAAGTATGAATATCGATGTACTTCTCTTTTCTAAGATTTGTCAACCGAGAGATTTTTTTTGTTACATAGATCGTTTGCAATCGACGCGACCCACTACAGGGTGTCGGTGTGAGTGCTGTTCGTCTCTTCAAGTACATCCATACCCACACCCTAGATCTTAAAGAGACGATGGAAAACGTTTTCAGTTTTATCATGACTTTCGAGCTTTTCTACAACTTGAACATTGGTCTATACTCTTGATATTATTTTCTTCAAGTGTTATATTAACCATTTGTCTTGTAACATGTGAAACAAAATATCCTAACGTTAAATGCAAATGCTTTTCATTTGTATAATGAAATTATTTCAAACAATTTTCATTTCAAAATATATGTCGAAAAAATATTTAAAAACGGACAAACATCTATTCTGACATTTAATGAGATTCAAAAAGGTTTTCATATAAATGTCTAAGAGAAACCACAACAAATCCTGTATCTGGAAATATCACATTATTTCGAACACCCACACTCAATCGAAATAAAGACTATACTGACAATAGTTTGATGAAAGATTTGAATAGAAGGAAAATAAATTAGACTCTTGCTATGTCACTCATATTGTATTCATTTTCGAATAAAAAGTATTGAAATAATTTTTTTAATCAAAGCTAAATAGTATGAAAAAGGAGGTTCTTTTATCTGTTCGACAATTTGTATAAAAGACAAAAAAATAATTCGTTATAGATTCTTCCTACAATCAATAATTCAGTCGCAAGTTACTTGTAATCGTCTAAAACTAAATCAATGAATTCAATGAAAAAAATCCAGAATCATTTAGTACTATGATCAAATACTAAATTCGCATGTTTATTTTTGACTTGGATTTGTTGTTATCGTCTCTCAATTTGACATCTATGGAAAACAATACTCCACTCTGAGTTTATAATATAATGGCATAGAGAGTGAATTTTAGGTGACTAACAGGAATTATTCATTTCATTGATCAATATGAAAACATTCATGAGATTTTAATTAAACTGAAGAGATTTTATTAAAAATATCTTTTACAATTTAAGATTTTCAATAACCAAAACAATTCTGTTGTTTCTTGTATTTCCTCCATTCCAATAATTCAATTGATATCAACAACTAACATATTTAACAAGATAATTGCAACAACTGATTTACTGATAAATTTTGAAGAAAAAACTTACCATTGAAGGTCAAAAGCACGACATTCTTCTTATATTTACCCATTACTTTAAATTACGTTCAAATTATGTATATTTTGATATTGGTGTCTTAAATGCAATCGACTATGAAAAACTACTCACAAAATCTAGAAATATTACTCCTTTAACACCACAGCTCTCTATTTAAAATGTGTTAAATGAATAGGTTCTTTGTCTATAGAGAGATCCCGAAAACTAAGAAAAGAAATAATATATACTGCATTATCAGCTTTATACTTTAAGTCGAATTCATGGATTCTGAAGCATATACCTCATCATGCCTTTTTTTTATCATATTCATTAGTATTTCTTAGAATTTGTCAATGTAATTAAATACATGCCATTGATAATTTTTTGTGTATATTTAAAAAGAAAATTTGCGATAGCTACAGAACATGCTTAATATCGAAAACATTCTTAATTTTATGCAATTATCATTCATAGTGAGATCAAGAGAATTGTCTTATCCTAAAAAAACTTTTCGCAAATATTACGAAGATTTTTCCTCGACAACAACAAATATGATTAATATAGAAGAATGAAATAAAGTTCCATGAGTATAACTGTTCTAATATATGAAACATATTTCAACTCAAAGTGAATTCTTGTAGTAAAATATGATCTTTTAGATTTTTATAATGAGTTCAATCAATTAGTTTTTCTAATGCAACGAGAAGTTTTCATATCAAGACCAACAATATGAAACACTATCTTTCGATTCATTGATAAATTTTTCACTTGAACGATTATCAACATAAAGTTTCACAACAATTTCACGAAGTATATTTGATAATCTCTTTCTGTATTTCTTCCTGCAAAAAATTTCAAAATCCTTATATAAAAAAGAAGACAATAAATAAAAGTTATTTATCTATAGTTACTATTCGCATCTTTTTTCACTTAAAGTTTGGATCGAAAAACAATGATGAACTGAGAATTTGAATTTAAGTGTATTATCTATTCGTTTTCCCTTCAATTTTAATGTGCTTCTTTTCTGTTTACACAGACAGCAATCATCTCCTCCCACAACGTTTTTTCTTCCTATCATCCAGTAACCAGCATACGAGATATGAATTGTTCTTATACATTACACTTGAACAACGAGAGAAATGAACGTAACCATCGGTTACATATTGTGTTAAAAATGAATATAATCAAACAGATATGTGTACAGACGAAGAATATGTCGGGTCCTGTAACACATACGCTATGTTTTCTTCAACACTTCAACTCTATCATAATTGACACATGTATAACTTAATAAAAACAGTTTTCCACGTGGTTGGAATAGCCATGTGGTGATTATGAGAATGATAAAATTAATCAGAAAATGACGTATCCTATTAATAACTACTTTCAATTAGTCATCTATCGGTTCATGATTTATCGAGATTTTATCTGAAGATTTGGTAGAATATTCATTCTAATGAAAAGCAGATGATGTGTAATATTCAAGTGCACTGATGGGCATCCAGCAACAATTAATAGTTTGAGATTATGATAAAAATTTACTTTAACAACCATACTTCGCGTGCATATTATTTTCGAAAAACTTGTATGATTGTTTCTATTAATATTTATGCAACTCCTATATTTTAAATGTTAACTGGAATACTATCTCAATTTAATCTATTACATAAGGAATATTTATTTTCTTTTGGTTCGATTGAAATTTCTTTCATTGTCTGAAGTATTTTAGAAAAACTGACGTGATTTAATACATCATATATAAGATGATATCAAATAAAAATCACTAATTCTAAAAACTGATTTTTGCAACAAGAACGTTTTTTGTTGGACCTAAATTGTTTTTTTTATTTTATTGAATTTATCGAAAGATATGTACGGAGGACATAGTCATAGAATGAGTTTTTTAAAAATTTCAGAAGCAACAACGAAGTATGGTCGCAAACAAAATTTTCTGTTTTTTTGAAATACCAGTTGCAGAAAGAATCATTACTGATGTTTATGGCAATATATATCTGTTATCATAATGAGTATATAAAAAAAAACGACATCTTACACATTCGAGATGAAAATACAAGCGAATTGAATATGAAATGTTTAAAGACGACAAAGATATCGTGCCCTCAATATTCCATTGCTTGACAAACACCGGTTGTTCTCGTGCGCTGTGTATAATCATTCCGTAATGCCGACGTCGGCTTTTATCGCGTCTTTTCGTTTCCGCTTCTTCTCGTTCTTCATAACAGAAGAAAAAACATTTGTCCATACATGAAGCTTTAGGAGGTGGGTGTAAAACAAAATGAACATCCGCAAGAATATCCGACGTTCTGTTGGTGACCTATGCAGGCGTGCAGATGGTAGGCCTTCATATTATACATCTATGTATGTATGAATAGAAGCGTCCGTTTCGTCATCGTCGTTTCGAAGACGATGATCATGAGCGTACTAGTCATATATACATCGATGTATGTTTCCCTAACCATTGCCGGCTTTGTCCATTGTACGAGCCAGCAGAATACGGAGCGTATCGCTGGTCACGCGTGCACGAAATTTTGTAGCTCCTGCGCTTCGACGAGCGAAGGCTTTCAGTAAGGCCAATTTATTTTCTCTTAAAAAACGAAAAAGAGACAATTACATTTTCGTTTTTACATTTTCAATGTGTGTTTTCACACGGGCAATATCCGGATGATTTGGAGGCAGTGATTTTCCGAAGATATCACGTGCTCTTTCGAGAGAGGAAAGTACTTTCGAATATTGTCCCATATTCTCATACAGTAAACCGATGTTCCCGTAGGAAGCCGCCAAGTCGGGATGATTCGGAGGGAGAGCTATTTTCTTGATTTCAAGTGATTGTTCGTACGATGAAAGTGCTTTTGAGTACTCGCCCATGTTATTATACACATTACCGATGCCCATGTAGGAAGAAGCCAAGTCAGGATGATTTGGAGAGAGAGCTATTTTCTTGATTTCAAGTGATTGTTTGTACGATGAAAGTGCTTTCGAGTACTCGCTCATGTTATTATACACATTACCGATGCCCATGTAGGAAGAAGCCAAGTCGGGATGATTCGGAGGGAGAGCTATTTTACAGATTTCAAGTGATCGTTTGTACGATGAAAGTGCTTTCGAATACTCGCCCATGCTATAATACACGGAACCGATGTTGTTGTAGGAAGCAGCCAAGTTGGGATGATTCGGAGGGAGAATTGTCTCGTCGATATTAAGTGCTCGCTCAAAAAATGAGACTGATTTCGAGAGCTCTCCTAGGTAATAATATACTTGACCAAGTTTGTCATTGTAAATGGATTGTCCTTCATCAGAAGACGTCTTTGTAAGGAGGATCTGATAGAATTGTTCTGCTTTTGCAGACTCACCCAGTTGAATAAGTATGTCACCAAGTCGAGCCCATCCTGTTGCGCAAGTGGACTCTTTACGAAGCCGTGCTGTGAGTTTGTTAAAATCATCATCCTGATTACCAACGAGAGTGAGATTAACTTGCCATAAGCGATCAGTATGGTTGTCTTCAATTCTTTCGATGTGATCGATATGAAAAATCGCATGTGTTGAAAAAAGTATTTCTTCTTCTTGATCTTTATAAAAGCCAACTTTGCTTACTTCGGCAAATGGTGTCGATGATTTTGTACAAATAGTCGTGTCAATGTTCATAATAAAGAGGATGCCAACTGAAGTGGGATTGTGTGTAGCTGGTCGTGCGAAGTTTTCTAGGGAAATCTTGCGATTGCGACTTGTCGACAGGAAATTGTTAAAGGACATAAGTCCTCCTTTGGTTTTTTTCATTTTTTCAAAATCTTCAATGGAGAAACCTTGTCCACGGAAGACTTGAAATGTTGCTGGTATGGAATCTTGTTGTTCACGATGTAATTCTGTAATATGAACTTGTTCGCAAAGTATATCATTTATTTTCAAGGAAGAATTTTCAGAGCAGTATCGTTAATAGAAAAGAAAAATGTTACTTTCAAGTTGTAGAATTGTTTCTTTTATGAGTAAGATATCGATAATTAGTTAATTATATAATCATTCATAAACGACAATATTACGTGTACTCAGATTTTAAGTGATTTTTTTTGTGATAAATGAAAAGTCTTTGCCTGATTTTCATCATTTCGATTCTTATTTTTTATTAAGTTTCAATCGCTTATGATTGAGATAAATTGTATAATCCATGAAATTTTGATTTTTTTTCGATTATTTGTTTTTTTTATTGAAATCGTTTAAAAAATGGTTAAAAGCTTATAAAATTCGTCTCACTTAAAAGAAATAAAACTATTCAACAATATAAGAAGTTTTCTTATCTCGATTTCTTGCAATAAGAAAAAGTCAAAATAAATACTTCATTAAGTTGATAGCAAGGTTCTAGTTGATTTTAACTATATTATTTTTTGTGCATAATTCTGACTCATCTTTAGTATTATTTTAACTCTTAAATTCAATCCGGACCTAAGATAGACTTTTCTGAAAACTATTGTTGGATTGTTATTCTGATTTTGTTTAGCTGGTACAATAATAGAAAGCTTTTATATTTCATATACAGAAAACTCTGTGTGTATTATCAGAAAAACTTTGAGAAATATCTCATTTTTTAAAGTTCTTTAAAAAAAAAGAATTATAGACTTTAAAAAATAGAAGACTATAAATGAATGTAGATAGGCTTATTTGTGCAGTTTTTGAACAATGCCTATGTTGATGTAAATGACGGATGAAAAAGTCCATTTTAAGGACGATGTCAACATCCATTTCTCGGAGTCCCCGATTGAGCATTGGATAAATAAATATTTCAGCTGTATACCACCATATTGGTGTATGATTACGATATTCACGTTCTACTTGTTTAATTTGGTCTTCAGGAATATCGTCCTGTTCACGGCAATAATCGACCAAATCTTTGATGGATTTCTTATTGTCATCTTCGATCTCCAAGAGTGCTTCTTTTAATAATTGCGTATACATAAATAATGCATCACGACCATTAAAGCTGACCGGGATCATAACTTGATCACATCGGTGTCGATCGATTTCTAAGGCTTTACAAATTGATTCAATTTTTGTATATACGCCTTTAATTTTTGGTACTTTATTGGCCCATTGTTCATGATAAGATTGATTGCCACAAAAAACATACACAGATTCTAACTGTGGCATGGCTTCAATATCTGGTACTATTTTTTGTCCAAGGGAGCCTGAGACGATCATAAATACTTTTTCTTTGGTAATACCACTAAGGTAATTGAAGCATTCTCCGGCATCTCCAAATGTTGTAATGGAGGCTACAATGCGTCGTAAATGTTTGAATGTATTTTGGAAGTCTTCTTTTGATTCATCAATATTGGCATCAAGCCAGACAAGAAGAAAATTCTGTAAAATTCGATGAGCAGATAGAGGAAGTACTACATTTCTGCCTGTCGCTGTTGTTGTTGTTGTTGATGATGAGTTTTTTGGTTTATTTACTGTGGAAGCAGGAGATGATCCACTAGCAGTTGATTTTGAATGTTGCTTTTTGTTCATTTGGATGATTTTGATTATAATAATGACATAGTGTTTTTCTTAAATGATTTTTTTCAATAGGTTTTTTTTCTTTTTTCGTGTTGACACTTTTTATTTTTTGGTTTGTTATTTTTGTTGCTAAAGAAGACTTGAAGGATTTCTTTGCCCAATTTTTTGTTCGTTCGTTCGTTTTCTTTTTTTTTCAAGGGTTTTTTTTATTGACAAAACGACAGCGACGAAACATGTGTCACAAATAACTGAATAATTAAGTATTATCGATCAATTGCGCATGATTTGTAGGAAAGAAAAAACAAAAAGTTACAAATAGAATTTCAAAATAAGTCGCTATATTTTTTGTTTTCATTGTTTTTCTTTTTCTTTACTCCTATCTATTGTCCGAAAAAAAAGGCGAGTGGCCATTTTTTGAATAACTTTTGATAGGTACAAGATAGAGAGCTGCGATTTTCACCATTAAAAAGAGACGATCCAGGGGCATAAATCAGAGCTAAAATCTGATTGGTTTACAGTGGACCAATCAGGTTTTTTCTTGGTGAACATTTTGAAAGCGATTTTCTGGAGTTATTTCTCGATTTATTTGGATTGTTAGTTTGAGTATTCGATAGAAAAAACTGTTCTTTTTCGATCTACACAAAGCCGATCTTTCTAACTTGTTCCGTTCAAGAGTTATGAGGATTTTCCTGGAACGCCTGATTTCAGCTATTGAGCCTTGGATCACCCCGAAAGGCGTCTAGGATGGGGTAATTCATCATGCTGAGTCGAATGGTGATATTTGTTTTTGGATTCGGAAGTATCTGACACTGGTATTTCTCAATTTCTGCTGAATGCCATCTCATTCGATACATAATAGCAGATTGTGAAAATTCGAAAAATTGAGAAATACCAGTGTCAGATGCTTCCGAATCCAAAAACAAATATCACCATTCGACTCAGCATGATGAATTACCCCATCCTAGACGCCTTTCATGGTGATCCAAGGCTCACTAGCTGAAATCAGGCGTTCCAGGAAAACCCTCATAACTCTTGAACGGAACAAGTTAGAAAGATCGGCTTTGTGTAGATCGAAAAAGAACAGTTTTTTCCAAGGGGGAAAAAGCGGATCCTGGTGGATCCTGGAATCCATTAGGATCCGCGAGGATCCATAGAATCCACCAGGATTCACTAGAATCAATTAGAACTCATTATCATTTATGAAGATAGATTAATGTTCTGAATAGCCACAAAAGCAAGGAAATCAACCAGATTCATAAAATAAGGATGCATAATTGAAAATATGCTCTGGATGAATCAATGAGAGCACCGTGTGCTATTTATACAACTATGACTAGTCTACTTTACAAAGGAAAAACGGACCTTGAGACACCCCACGATCTATTGGACTCCATCCGAAGCCATTAGAATACATGGAAACAAAGTAAACAGACGAAGAATTGGCCCTACAATTTTTGAAAACAAAGAAAAAAGAAATTTCGGAGATTGAGAGTCTGGTGGGCCCCGATGAACTTTTGAGTATCTGAATGAGTTCTGCGGTTTATACGATAGAATAAGATACATCAAGATTTAGGTGTTCCTGATTGGTTTCAGATTATTATGATGCTTGTTAATTTCTGCTGAATTCTTCTGGATTTCAAAAGATTGTACTAGATAGTGTTGAATTTTTGCTAGAGAAAAGCTCAAGTCTTTTTGAGCTAGATTTCTGACATAGGCAGCAACGGCGCTGCACAGATTCACCATTTTTTCCGGGAAAAATGCGAAAAACGGAAAAAAGTGTGTACCCATAAAATTTTAAGATGCCGACAGAATTTTAATTGAGATTCAATCAAGATCGTAACAGTTTATTGCTATTTCCCAATCATAAATTGTCGAAGAATCTGCTAAATCTTGAGAAAGCCGTGTAGCCGCGCAATTTCAAGACCTCGACAAGGTTCATAACAGGATTCTATCAGTATCCTGAGCAGTTTACCAATGCAATTAAAACAAGAAATATGTTAATAGAGGGTCAAACCCTCAGAAAAACGCGTAGGCACGAAATAAACACGATTCTGTTATGATTAGAACAAAATCTTAGAGAAATTCTGAGTCATTTTGTATTGACTTTATGTCAAGCTCTTCTCAGAATTTCAATGGCTTCTAATTGGAAAATATTTTCTGATTGCACCTCGCAGAACTCCACTTCGATTCTGTAAGGATGATAGCCGATGTATTGTCAACATTTTTTGCAGGATTCTCTAAGCAGAAAAGAGAAATGAACGCACATTATTGATTTCTATATGTTCAGTTAAAAAACTGATTAGTTCACCGCAGTATAGACTGTACCATGCTATTTAATTTAACTCAAACCTTCTGTATCTCGAATTTCCTCTGAACTATTAACTTGTATTTGAACTTTATGCAAACATAAGTTATTTGAACAAAAATTCAATATAAACTTAATCTATTTATTACTTATCATAAAATTCTACAATGACTGGTTGATTTCAATTTGAATAAAAAGGTATTTTTCTGATTAGCACGAATAAATAAAATCCAGTACAAGTTTTATTGAAGTACTCGTCCTTTACTAAAAGCTTTTTTAAGAAAAAGTTAGTGCAACAGTTAAACTGATATTAAAATCTCCATTTTAATGAGTTTGCAAGTTTTATATGAAAATAAAATTCAAAAAATAACTGAGTTCCATGCTGTAAATGTCATGCAATATTGAAGATAAATATTAAAAATCTTTGACGAGAAATCTTCAAAAATTCTGTCAGAATTCTTCCATTCACTGACACATAGAAACAAAGGAATATTAGAATGAATTTCAGGTACCTTCTTGATCTTCTACATTCCTGTCAGAACCGGAACAAAACACATTGCAAATTCTTCATTGTCATTTTAATATAGTTACTGTTAAAATTTTATTTAACAAGCACAATTTGAGTTTTTGAGATTCAAAGATTCAAAAATATTCGAAGAATCTTAAATAGGAACTGTTAAGGATTTTGATGGAAACATTTCATAATTTTATTCAAAATCCTGAACCAGATCAGTCATAGATCTTGTTACAATCCTCAAGATCAAGCTTTAGTAGACTCTAAATGAAAATGGTAAAGATCTTCGTCTAACCTTGATATACTTTCAGAAAGATCCTGGCCATTCTTGACCTTCTTTAGGAAGGATCCGAAATGCTTGTCCTTGAAGAGACCCTAAGACAACCCTGGAAATGTTCAGAAAAGATATTCGTAAGAAGAATGCTTAAGAAAATTAGATAGAATCGTGATTGAATCTTAGAAGAATCCACTACCTGAGGATTTTCATTGCTCTTCTATTAATTCCTTGTAGGATCTTTGCCTTATTTCACTGTAAGCCAGGAGAGGACCATGACGCAGAGATCCCAAACGAATTCTGTTAAAACTATAATAGAATCTAAGCGATATTCTTTCTGTAATCCCTATCAAGGTTTTGAGTAAGATCAAGAGTGAATCCTAGTACGGCCCATCATGTTAAAATAATAAAGAAGTCTAAGTGGGAACTTGAAAAGATCCTGAGAAGAATATTTTTTTCACAATGAAATATCCTGCAAACTAGTATTATTAAAATTGGAAACGGAATCCTGAATAAAATATGCCATGAATCTTCAGATTCAGGAGCCCAAAATATTCTTTCACATTTTCTCAAGGAAAAACAGGATTAACACTAAAGTAGAGGGTTGCTCTAAGTTCTGACATCCTTAGTTTGACGAAGAAAAGCGGATTCTAGAGTCCTAAGAGATTTTAGAATATATTTCTAGAAGTGTACCAAAAGCGGTCACAGATTACTGCCATTGGCTGTAATTCAACACAATCCATTACAATTTATCAGAGATAACTAGAATGCAATAGAAATCATCATGTATTACAATAATATCAAACCGATCGAGGAAGCGTAAATCTTGATGGATCCAAAAAATACGCAGAATCCATGATGATATGCCAAAATTTACCAAGACATAATCATCTCGGTATCCTGGATTTTTTTTTCTCTTTACTTAGTTACAAATTCTGAAGTCACTATTCCCTTTTCTCACTTAATTTATTTGAACCTTAAAGCATTCTCATATCCATTAAGATCAACTTTTCTATCCTCGTTTCTGTACGCTTGAAATAATTTATTCTACAATTCATCAGGTTCCGTCAGGATCCACTATGATCCACTAGGATCCATCAGGATCCACCAGGATCCATCAGGATCCACCAGGATCCATCAGGATCCACCAGGATCCACTAGGATCCACCAGGATCCAGTAGGATCCACCAGGATCCGAGGATCCAGGATCCGCTTTTTCCCCTTGTCCTAATGACTCGTATTCAATTCAAAGTCTATTTAATTTTCAATGTAACAACGACATCATTAAATATTATAAAACGATAAACATAAGTAAAAAAAAAAAGTCATCTATTAACTTTAAATCGTTGCTTTCCCATGCAATTGAGAATAATTATCGCGGACAAGAAAAGCATTTGAAATTAATGCTTAAAATCCTTTCGATTTGTTTCTCGATTAAAAATATCGAAAAATGTGACTCGTTGATAATAAATCGATGTTTTTATTTAGCATACAGTCGCAGTCACACATCTAACATAGTAGGTTTAGAAAATAGTAAAATATAAAAAAATAACGACAAAATTATCAGTCATCGATAAGAACATGATAAATAAAGCGAATATTCATTTAGAGTATTTTATTTGACATTGAGTTTTTCGCATTGATTCTTCTCAAGAAGAATCAAATGAATTGACAAAAATATTATTAGCAGAATGTTTAGGCTGTGGGTGTTGGGTGTGCGTGATGGACGTGGAATGTGGGTGTGACTGTAACAGAACAGAAGACTCACATCCAGACCCACACTCATGCCCAACCACACCCTACACTTGGACCCATACCCACGCCCTACACTCACACCCACACCGACACCGACACCCACACCCACACACGCACACCCACCCACATCCACACACGCATACTCACCCACACCCACACCCTTGTGATATGGATCTTCGTGTAGTTGGTTGCTTCGAAGAATTTCATACCTTGATAAACTTAGTTTTTTTCTCGTTTCAAAATAAAACAGCTGCATCTTTCAAATAAGGTCTAAGGGTAATAACTATGATCATTAACAACTTTCAAAATATAGTTAATTTTAGCAACATAATTTCATTTTTTATGAAAAAAATAAGTCCATCCGCAAAGTGTTAAAAAAATAATCAACTGCGATCGATGTAAGCTCTTTTATCTTTTCTCTGTGTAATTCTTCTTATCAGTTCATGTACTTCAGAGTATTGCGAAATAACTCATAATATTTGTCAAAAATGTGCTTGTTATTACATAATACATAGAAAAAAATGACTCATTTTTATAGCATAGAGCACCAAATTTCGTCACATTCTTACAACAACGAAAATGACAACAATTCAATATGGCACTGACGAAAAAGGGATACGCATTGATCATACCACATTAACACCACGTTATTCAGTCACGAACGATGAAAGTCTCAATGAGGGTATTGCTTATTTAAATGAACATGGCTATACAGTTTTTAGCGATATTTTATCTCAAGAAGAAATTAAAACAAATAAAGATTTATTATGGAACTTTTTTGAAAATATTCCTGGATGCCACATTCGGCGAAATGATTCAGAGACATGGTCTAATTTTTGGTAAACATATAGTTTTCTACTTTGAGTTCGAACTTGAATATTATTATTATTTTTAGGCCCGGTTTTCCTACTTCGGGCGTTGTAAATAACTGTGGTATAGGTCAATCTGATTTCATGTGGAATATTCGTTCAAATAGAAAAGTCAAACGTGTTTTCACTCGAATATGGAATACAAATGAATTATTAGTTTCATTCGATGGTTGTGGTGTTTTCCGTAATTGGCATTACGATCCTAAATGGAAAACCAACGGTGGATGGTATCATGTTGATCAAAATCCGATTGAAAAACCTGACCGATGCTGTGTACAAGGACTTGTTTCATTAATGAAACAAAACGAAACAACCGGTGGTCTCATTATTATTCCGAATACTCATTTACGTTTTGCAGAATTAAATGATCTTCCCCGTGGAAGAGGCGATTTTATTAGGATACCACATAATCATCGAATTTTAGATGGTGATCAAGCTATTGCAAAACTTGTTCAATGTCAAGCTGGTGATCTTGTTCTATGGGATAGTCGTCTTGTACATTGCAATGCACCAGCCTTCGTCACTAAGCAACAAAACGAGGGTGAACCAGTCGACTTCTAACGTATTGTTGTCTATGTCAGTATGAGTCCAATGGCATTCGTACAAAAATATACACTTGATGAATTTCGAAAACAACGTAAATCAATAGTAGAAAATAATATTACATTAACACATTGGAGTACAGAATTGTTTCAAACACGTAAGTAAAAAATTAAAATTAAGGGACTTTATTGGCGTGTTGTTATTTTTTCTATTCTAGGTTCAAAGCTTAATCTTCCTAAAATATCAATGAAGAAATTCGATGCATATCAACGTGCACTCATTCTTGGTACTGATTGCGATGACAGTTAATCAATCTATGAACATAAAGGTTCTAGCAAAAAGATGTTTGTTTTTTGTTTTTAATAAAAAAAACAGACTTGTTACATAAAAGACATATAAATGATTAAGGAGCGCAACTTAGGGCTACTATACAACTGGTTGTGGATCCACACGATCCATAAACGATGGATGCAGAGTTATTTCTGATGGGGTTCGAGCCACGTAAATATCACCATGAAATGTGTAGACGCCATTTTTAATGTCTAAAAATCGAAGATAATCGCAAACATAATGTTGGCAGTCGTTTGACCATGACGAATAGATTGTATTAATTGTATTATGTCTCTGCCGATATTCATCAATTTTACTCAATTTTTTCCGTGTATGGCCAACTGAATGATAAACAATGGCCTGATTGTCGTAGAACTGATACTCATCAAAATGCAGTTCTACTTTCCCATGTTTGTCACCGTTTTCCATTTGAAGATTAGTATAGTAGAGCTTACCAGTTTTGGTTTTACACACACAGATATGATGAGCTAGAAGTGGAATATTTATCTAATATGATTCACGTTTGAGTGTTTTTATTAACACATAAACTTTCATCATATTGTCAGTCACTTCAACACTTCGTTCAGCATCCATTTGACTTTATTCAAATGTTAGCTGGCGTGTTATCCTTATCAATTGGTGGGTGTAAATCGGTAGGTTTTTTTGAATATCGACAACCATCTACACCCCAATATGCAGATTCTATTGACTCTTGTTGGATCCTAATGAATCCTAATAACTGCTGAATTCATTATGATCCATCGAAATCTATAAGAATTCACCAAGGTCGTAATATTCTATGTTTGTTTTTTTTTCTTCCTTGACTAGATTTCTAGAATGGAGTCCGCCATTCTATGGATTATTTTAGTTGGATTCTGTGGCTTCTACAAGGTCCGAATAGAACCTATTGGATTCATCAGAATTCGCTTTTTTCCCCTAGAGTCTCGTGCATTCTTTTAATGTGACTAAAAATGGTTTCAAATTCGATTCTCATGGTAGAAGTCAAATCGATATCGATCGTCTCTAATCCCTTAGATGTGACAGCTGATCACTAAAGAAAAAGTTACTTTTGATATGTATCAAATGAATATTTTATTTGAACAGGTGCTGAAATGTATGTGAATTGATTTTTGAACTACTACAAAAAAGAATGAATATAATAATTGATAAAGAAGTAAAGTCATCGAAATGTTATATGCCGTACTATTTAAAATGGAAGTCATTCGATAGATGAGAAGAATAAACGAGGAATATCATTAGGTGGTAAACGATTCACCACTAAGTGCTACACTTAGCCATAAAGCTCCATGCATTGTGTCAGTGAGATCTCGCAGTTCTTCGTTTTCAGCGCACATTTTTCTAAACTCTCGTTCAGATACTTGCTGCTTCTTACCAAAGGCTTTGTCCACAACATTCTTGATTTTTTCCAATTGAGATGTTGCTTTATCCTGGTCAGCTTGATATTCCTCGTTACGAAACGCCCAGATGAGAAGGTAGAAGGACTTTAAGATTTCGTTATGCGTAAGATATCCATCACGATTAGAGTCACACAGTTGAAACAGGCACCTTATTGATACTTGTGGATCAGTGTTGGACAACAATCCAAAGGTCAATATATAGTCGTATAAATCAATCGTGCCTAAAAATTTTGATCAAAATAAAAATCAATTTCATTCATGTGTGACTAGAATATTTTCATAATTGTTCAAGTTCAATTGATTTTCATTTCGTATATCATACGATTCCAGAATGATCAATCTTATTTTGAATCTAAGTTAAGTTTTATAATCCTTTGAATTATTGTTTCTAAACTTGGTGGAAAATCTGTCTGAGTCTCGGCAAAAACTATTCAAATTTCAGATCAGGCATGAAATTTCTTTCATTTTATGATCTCAGCATAAAAAAGATCATCTATAACTATGAATGTTATGGCTGAGCATATTCCATGTACAGTGAGTTCAAACAATATTCGAACACTAAATCATCCACATTATTGCTCAAAGCAGATCGCAGGATAGCAAGATATATGCAGCACACAAAGATGAAACATTGAAATCTAAAGTACTTTATGGATCTTCATTTTATTTACTTAATTGTTTTTTTGCTTGAAAGATCATCGCAAGATGCAAGAGATAACAAGATCTTTTTTTATAAATTCTTAGTTTTTGTATAGAAAAGACAGTGACAACTTCAATAATTCAAAAAGCTGAAAAACTTTAAGTAAATGCTTTTCCTTCTGGATTTTTCAAAGGCTTTTTCAGTTATTGAAGTCGTCACTTTCTTTTCTATAGAACAAGTAAGAATTGTAAAAAAGGAGTTCTGTTATATCTTGCATCTGGATATGATCTTTTCAGCAAAACAATAATTTAATAAATAGAATGAATATCCATAATGTATTTTAGATTGCTATGTTTCACCTTTGTTTACTTCATATATCCCGCAAAAGTCATGGTATAAGGTTGAGAATCTTACCATCGCCTCTCTACTACACCTTCAATATATCCTTAAAATTTCACACGATTTATGTGTGCTTGCCTTGAGATCGGTATTGAGGAAGGATGCTTTTTGGACTAGCTGCAGTTCTAAGACTTCCCTGGATCTTTTCATCTTGATACGTGAAAGTAGCTATTTCAGACCAATACGAAAACTTTGGTATATCTGATTGAACGAAAACAAATGAAAAATCAACTATACTTCAAAATAGCTTTAGTCACTCCCCTTTCTTTTGTGAGAAAACGATCGATAAGAATGAATTAATGAAACAAAATGACGCACCTGAATGATCTTGATCGATGATATTAAATAGAAGATGGACAAACTGTTTCAGCTTACGTTTGTCCTCCGATGAGCGATGAGGCCACATTTCAAGAAATTCGGCTTCTGTCAAGCCATTGCTTGGAAACTTGCTCCGTAATTTCTCTAAAAGAAAAATTCAATCATTACGTAGATTCCTTGTTCCTTTTAATAGAGAGAGAAAGTAGGCGAATGCAAATTAGCAACAAAATTTTGAGAAAAACTGTCACAGTGAAGTCTGATTTTAGTTTATATTATTTAGTTTTAGTTACAATAACACAGTTTTTCGCTGAGGTACTACTTTGTCATGTGAAATTTCAAGCGTAGGAACAGTGCATATCTAATGCAAAATTTGAAAATTTATGAATAAAATAAATAACTCTTAACTGTTTGGTATGCTTAATTTGTAACGAAATAAATGAAACAAAAAACTCCATTTTCGATCGATGATGGCAACCGAAAACCACCTGATCTGACCTGACTCGATCCAAAGTCAACGATATGTTACGGTCAGTTACAGCGAATCTGCCCAAAAATTAGCCTGGTTTTTTGGTACATCTATACGAACTCTCTCAAAATTGAAAAGAATGAAGTCATTATTGCATCTAGAATAGGTATATGACAGCTTTCTACCGACTGACTGAGCTGGTTTGAATAGTTCTACTATTTTAAAACTAGTGCAAACAAGTAACCCGCTCTTTCGAAATGAGTGTGGTCGGAGGATCCAGGTCGTTTTAAATAAGTGGAATCCAATCAATACGAGTAGAGTTGGTTAATACATTCACTCACGAAAAAAAAGACTCGGTGAATGTCTCCATTCATAGAAAAAGAACTGCGCAATGGACCTCGCTCCTATAAAAACGAGCTCTTCATCATTAGCCTAAGCTAGCTCTTCTGACTCATTGAGCCATGAGATGTCATACACCTAATCTAGGATTTCTGTTTCCCTTATGTAAAGTTCAACATCGGCCAATTTACTGTCACCCAATCCGATCTGAGGTCTGACTCGACCTCAGTTGGACTCTTGATGGTGATGCTGGGGAAGAAAATGTTTTCTGATCATTTGCGATAACCTGTGATAGAAGCTGAGAAATGATTTTGATCGTCATCACACCAAAGTAACTAATTTAATGAAGAAGTCAAAAAAAATCAGATAGACTTACCATACAGTTTTTGAATTCCCTCTTCAGTCATATTTGTCGCCGATATCAAACTATCCAATTGAGCCTGGCTCAATTCAGGATTGCTGTTTTTTGCTTCGTTTCTTTTACTCATAGAAGCGATCTTACGTGATTATTTGAGCAGAATATGATGTGTTGACGCAGAAAAAATGAGAAGAGATTGTATTTATGAATGACGTACATACGACAGGTATGAAACTGTGTTTATTTTTCTTCGACTTCTCCATCTCTTCAATAATTAACTCAGAGAAGAAAAACGAAGTAGTCAACAAGAAAAAAGAAATTAACATAGGTAAGTGCATTTTTTGCTGTAGGTGTAGAGAATAATGAACTATTTTTAGTCGTCAAAGAACAGAACAAATATATTTAGATGAAAATTGTCCTTGTTAAGAACTAATATGTGAATAAAATTACGCAGACGGCAATATTTGGGTGTGGGTGTACGTGTGAGGATTCTCTTCTTTAACCTGGTCGTGCCGGGCTTTTTCAACGATGAATAAAGAATGGGTGTTGGTGTGGGTATGGAGTTGGTGTGGGTGTAGGTGTGGGTGTGTGGGGTGTGTGGGTGTGGGTGTGGGTGTGCGAGTATGGGTATATTGCTCACCCACACCCAACAATTATAACGGACGAATGGCGACCTTACAATAGATTAGCTGCTGGTGGTTTTGCTCATCTTACAGTGAATCACAAGTACAATTTCATAGATTCACAAAGTGGAGCTCACACACAAAACATCGAAAGAGCTTGGTGAAATTCGAAGGATGAAAATAGAAAAAGAAGTGGTACTGATCGGAATTTCATCGATTCATATCTATGTGAACATATGTGGGGCACAAGATTTCATAGATGTGATTCCTTTGATGCAATTCTGACTGATATAGCCGCATTTTTGTCGCCAGAAAACTAATATTGATGATGTTTTATTCTATATACAGTGATCTTATTTAGTTTGAGAATAAAAGTTAGAAAAAAATAAACAGAAAACTCATGTGGGGCGATAACAAACCAGTACCTAAATTTCTTTTAGCTTTATTATTTGATAAAATAGCTTAATAATAAAATAAATAAACTGGATTAAATATTCACACGCGATTATTCTGCTAATAACAAATAGTTTATCGTTGTTCAAATTGAATAAATATAATTCAAGTACGAAATCGATTATGAAAAGAACTTAATGCAATGGCAAATGCTTGCATAGCTGTAAGAGGATATCGATAATCAAGAGCAAAATTATTGTCATCAATACGACCAAATTGCATAATAATATCTTCTTCACCTATAACAAATCACAAGTGATAAATTTTATTCAATAAAAACAAAAAAACATAATACGATCTCCATTTGTAATCAATAATTGAAAATTTTTATGTGATGGTTGTTTTACACGATTTTCAAGTAATTTAAGACTATATACTTTACTTTCTAAATTAAAAGAATTATTTTTTAGACAAAAGGAAAAAAATTCAATATTGATTAACCTTTATTATATACTGGTGTTTTATTTTTTATCTCAATCAAATCAGTTGCATGTCCAGCTCGCCATTCTCCAATAATCGTTTCATTTTCCTTTAACAAAAAATAAAAATTTAATTGAACATGATAATAAAAACAAAATCTATTAACCTTTAATGGATGAATAGGTTTTTCAACATTATACAATAAAACTGTTATGTTTCTTGGTTCTTTCGATCCAAATATATGAGTATTCTAAAATATATTTATATTGTATTGAAACTTTTCTCAAATATAAAACCTAAATAAAACGATGAGTCAGTCGAAATAAACATGAATAAAGATTCACTTTTACTCTTCATAGTAATACAGGATGTTCTGTAAGTCTTTAGACAAAGAAAAATTTGAATAACTCTATTATGATTCGACCAAGGATAGAAGCATGTTTACATTTCAAATTCTTACGGACAAGGTTAATGAGAACCTTAGTTAGACATCACTAGTGACTTCAATTAAGAAAATTTTACTTTTTCACAGACGAAAAAAAGAATATACTTAACAAACCTTTTCATAAACTTGTTCATATAGACTTGGTCCGTGAATATGTCTCCATCCTTGTTGAAAAAATCAGCTAATTTGCTCAAGGCATAATAGAGATATTCAATTTTCTATTTGATGAAGTGAATTTTGCACTATCCTGTATATCAGAGACGTGCATCGCACCTAAAAGTCGATGAGCGGCGGCAGAAAGTACGAGTTAAAATTTCAAATAGTGACGGCGGTACAGACTGCTCCGTAAGTCTTTTTAGTGAGCGGAACAGCCGCACCACATCTCGTTCAAAGGGTCTTACGGTGCGATCGCTCCGTCGAGCGGCCGCTCGGAGCTTACTAAAGTTGTTTATCATGATTTTTTTCGCGAGTTTATTGTAACATTTCTTAACGAATGCTATGTACTCTATTGATCCCGTTAGGTTGTGTCAATGTAATTCAATAAGTCTAGAAATGGATCGATGTGATAGGAAAAGTTATTAGAAAATAACACCACAGTAGTGTAAAAGATAATAGCTTTTACAGAATAATGATAATGATAGAGATTACTGTAAACCTCTCCTGTAATAGAAGTCTCCCTCTCCTCAACATATTAGAAGTCTCTGCCGTATCAGAAGTCCATGGAGAGCGGTTAGTGTGAAAGATGTCTTAGAAGCCTAAGGCTTGTGTTACACCCAAGAGTTTTCGGAGGTTTGGCAAAGTCGGTCTTCGTCTCCGCAACGCTACTTTACATTGGCAAGCATTCTACACATGAAAAGTGCATTAGACAGTAACTCACAAAGTACTCGCCCATGATTCCAACGATAGAGTAAACCTGGATGTGGGTATATCTGCGGACGTGTCTAGGGTGCGGGTAGCTGGCAGTGTGGCTGTGGGTGTAAGTCAAAAGAAGAGAAACATCCACATCGATCCACCAACGCCGGAACTCACAACCACAACCACAGCATTAAACTTCTTTGCAAAGTAGTCTAATTATGTGTATTTGTACATAAGTATTTTTCACCTCATTCTTCTTTAAAGTTTATTATATGAAATAGTATGTTTTTTACTATATGTATGACATAGAATAATGTTTTGTTTTGCATATTTATATGAAATTCCAGTGTTGTAAGATTATTTGAACTTATCGCAAATAGTTAGGCAAAATAATCGAAATGATGACTCCTTTGCATACTTTCCGAAATTTCTTTATAAAAGTCATGTTAGTAGCCCACCACATAGTAGAAGCGTCCTCCAAAAACTTTGAACGGTGAAAAGTTTAGTAGCCCATGGGTGCTTTTCTTATGGGAGAGAATTTAGCTGATTTTATCAGATAACTGTGGACACAACATAAATACCAGAAAGAAAAGATTGGTGATGATAAGACTGCTACATTGAAGAGAAGAAATTATTAAATAATTTTTTCCTGCCGACTTGAATATGTCTGGTTGATTAAAAATAGTCATTTTTGTCCGAGAAAATAATACACTTGTGACCATTTATATAAATATTAGAAAGAGAAAAAATAGACAACCTAATACGAAAAATTATAATGGAAATAGAGAAAGTTGAAGTCAACAATCTATCTATGTAGTATTTGTAACGCCAGGAGCAACAAAAACATCTATAAATGGTGCCATCAAAGACCCAGTATAATACGTACATATTTTTGAGAATCAAAATCCATCCGGTGTAGGATTTAAAAATGCTATGTCTCTCAAATATGAGTACGAAGCCAATGCTCCATTACTTATCATTATTATTTAAGAGAAAATGGTCATCAATATTGTTGCACGATATTAATTACAGTTTAGATTCGTCGATTTCAACTTCAGAAAATATTCCCTCACAAGACGGTGAAATTAAGATTAGGCGGCCGCTCGAGAAGTAAAAAAAATGAGAGCGGTCGCTCCGTACCAGTCCCGCTCGCAAAATTCACAAGCGGTGCAGCCGCACTCACATAAGTTATACTTCTCAAGACGGGACGGACGGACCGCGCAAGCGGTGCATATCTCTGCTGTATATTATTTTTTTTCTGTCTGTGAAAAGTAAAATTTTCTTAATTGAAGTAATTTTCAGTTTATTTCTGATGGAAAACATCAAGGTTTTTTAAATTGTATTTATCATCTCTAGCAGCAGAATTAAAAATAACATAGTAGGAAAGAGATTTACAGTTCAAAGAAGAATTAATGTTGATAAATAATCTTCTGAGAAAACATATTTGAATGTCCTTCCTCACAACAAGTTTAAAAATATTCTATTTGATAGAGATCTTCATGAATATTTCCAGTGCATTAACTGCCTTCATTCAAGTCTGAAAATAAATTGAAAGAATTAAACTTTTTATTTTTATGTTCTTTCTTTCTGTTATAACTGCATCGTTTTTTCACTTGTATAAGATTTGCGCAAAAGATCCAGCTTGAAAGAGCTAGTTATCCATCACAAATAGTGACTTCATGTGTACATTTCCCAAGTTTCTTTGCTATTTTTCACACGTTATAATCGCCAGAAATACTTATACAATCCCACGTCGGACAAAGTAGTTCATAGATGGCAATATACTTAAGAAACTCTGTAACGTGATCATAAACTGGCATCTATTTACAACATTTTTAATATATAATGGAAAGCGTCTTACATAGTTCTATACGAACACAATACTATATACGTAAATTTCACACAGTGAAATATGTAAATCTCTTACAAGTGAAAAAATGGTACATCTCTAACAGCAGAAAAGAAAAGATATAAAAATGAAAAAATTTCTTTTACTCAAGTTAAACAAGGGCGATGAATACATGAGATATTCATCCAGATTGTCATCGAATGAAATGATACTAAACTTCTTCTCACGTGAAGCATTTGAATATATTTTCTCATAAGTAAGGTAACACAAATCTGTTCATTGAATTATTCGATATTTTAAATAAAAATAATTTGTGATAACTTACATAAATAATAGCAACTGATTGTTGATTATTTTGATTATAAAAAACATATTCAGTACCAGTTAGATTAATACCTTTTAATTTTGCAATTGAATTTTCATCATTGAGATTTTTTAATGATTTCTCATCATTTCCAATAAAATATTCTGAATGTCCATCAATTCTTAGATGTTTTCGTGCAGTTAAAAGAAAAGTCTTAAAAAAGAGATTCAAATAAAATAGAATTTTTTTTTTGTTTATTCTAAATAAAAATACTCGATCATTTTCATTTTGTCCATCAAAATATAAAGAAAATGTTTTTGATATAAGACCTTCTTTGTTACATTTTACAGTACAATGAACAAGACTTAAATAATCTTTTGGAATTGGTGTATAGATATATTTTTCTGGTTCCTTTTTAATTAAATATTCAATATCAACATTAAGATCATTAGATTCAATTATCTACATAAAAGAAATAATATGAAAAAAAAATCTAAATTTATTATGAAAAAAAAAACCTGTGTTGTTGAAGATTCTTGTGTTAATGGAACATCTTTTTTGTGTGGTTCTAAATAAAAAATTTATTTTGACAATAATAAACAATTTTTTGTAACCTGTTTCGGTTGTGTTATAAATAGTTGGAACTATTTTATGTTCTACATTTAATTGATCATCATCATCATCAATATCATGATGATCTTCATTAGTTATACTAAATATTAAAAAATAAAATTTTTGTTTTTTTAAATAGAAATATTTCTTTAACTTTTCAGTTGTTGTTGATTCACGTTTTGACATTGTTAAATAACGATAGAGAAAGAGTTCTTTTAAACGAAATCATAAAATACAAATTATTTTATATGTTGAAGAAGAAAAAAAGAACTTTCTTTCTGTTTCTGTTTCATTTAAAGATCGAATGTGATTGATTCTACGTAGTTAACTTAATTCTATTTTTAGTCGAATACAACTCTTCAGTGCTTTTCTGTTGTTATTTACATAGCTTTTTTACTTCCTAGATACATCAAACATGGAAACAAAAAAACCTCACGGTTTTACGAGTAAGAAAAGCAGATTCTAATTCGTTAAAAATTGTTTTTTTCACAAAAATATTAAACTTTATCAATTCATTTTTTTCTCGGAAGAAATTTT